ATTAAGCCTAGAGTTATGTCTGCTTTTTTCCGTGAAAATCGGTCCAGATTTAGATATAGATATAGCTCCCATTTTTATACCCTTCACCACACTGTGGTACAGGGTATTATGTCTTTGTGCATATGTTTGTAACAGGCAAACATAATCGAGATAGACACATGGTTCCTTTTGTTAAATTCTAAACAAAGTACAGGTCGCATTTATTATCCGAATTGGATGAAATTTGGCATAGGTCACTTATTCGGCCCAAGGACGAACCCTATTGAAATTGGGAAAAATCAGTTCCGATTTAGATATAGCTCCCATATATATATTTAACCGATTTAATGTAAACGGTTCCTATATATCCTTCGATTTGCACGAAATTTGGTACAGCCTTATCATTTAGGTCTAGAATGATGTCTGCCAAGTTTCGTGAAAATCGGTCCAGATTTAGATATAGCTCCCATATATAGTTTCGTCCGATTTCATGTAAATGGTGCAGCAAAATCCCTATATATCCTTCGATTTGCACCAAATTTGGCATAACGTACTGAATTGAGCATAGAATTATGTCTGCCAAGTTTCGTGAAAATCGGTCCAGATTAAGATATAGCTCCCATATATAGTTTCGTCCGATTTCATGTAAATGGTGCACCAAAGTCCCTATATATCCTTCGATTTGCACGAAATTTGGCATAACGTACTGAATTAAGCCTAGAGTGATGTCTGCCAAGTTTCGAGAGAATCGGTTCAGATTTAGATATAGCTCCCATATATAGTTTCGTCCGATTTCATGTAAATGGTGCCCCAAAGTCCCTATATATCTTTCGATTTGCACAAAATTTGGCATAACATACTGAATTGAGCATAGAATTATGTTTGCCAAGTTTCGTGTAAATCGGTCCAGATTAAGATATAGCTCCCATATATAGTTTCGTCCGATTTCATGTAAATGGTGCACCAAAGTCCCTATATATCCTTCGATTTGCACGAAATTTGGCACAACGTACTGAATTGAGCCTAGAGTGATGTCTGCCAAGTTTCGAGAAAATCGGCCCAGATTTGGATATAGCTCCCATATATAGTTTCGTTCGATTTGATGTAAATGGTGCACCAAAGTCGCTATATATCTTCGATTTGCACGAGATTTGGCATAACGTACTGAATTGAGCCTAGGGTGATGTCTGCTTTTTTCCGTGAAAATCGGTCCAGATTTAGATATAGATATAGCTCCCTTTTTTTATACCCTTCACCACACTGTGGTACAGGGTATTATGTCTTTGTGCATATGTTTGTAACAGGCAAAAATAATCGAGATAGACCCATGGTTCCTTTTGAGAATATGCATAGAATCACTTTCTGAATCGATTTATGCATGTCCGTCCGTCCGTCCGTCCGTCTGTCCGTCTGTCCGTCTGTCCATGTTAAATTGTAAACAAAGTACAGGTCGCATTTATGATCCGATTTGGATGAAATTTGGCACAGCTCATTTGTTTGGCCCAAGGACGAACCCTATTGAAATTGGGAAAAATCGGTTCAGATTTAGATATAGCTCCCATATATACTTTTGCCCGATTTACGGACTTTAGACCCTGAAAATCTTTCGATTTGCACGAAATTTGGCATAGCGTACTGAATTGAGCCACGAAAGATGTGTGCCAAGTTTCGTGAAAATCGGTTCAGATTTATATATAGCTCCCATATATAGTTTCGCCCGATTTACGGACTTTAGACCCTGAAAATCTTTCGATTTGCACGAAATTTGGCATAGCGTACTGAATTGAGCCACGAAAGATGTGTGCCAAGTTTCGTGAAAATCGGTTCAGATTTAGATATAGCTCCCATATATAGTTTCGGCCGATTTTTGGTAAATGGCGTACCAAAGACCCTATATATCTTTCGATTTGCACGAAATTTGGCATAGCGCACTGAATTAAGTCTAGAATGATGTGTGCAAAGTTTCGTGAAAATCGGTTCAGATTTAGATATAGCTCCCGTATATATCTTCCTCCGATTTAAGGTAAATGGTGTACCAAAGTCCTTATATATCTTTCGATTTGCATGAAATTTGGCATAACGTACTGAATTGAGGCTAGAATGATGTCTGCCCAGTTTCGCGAAAATCGGTCCAGATTTAGATATAGCTCCCATATATAGTTTCGTCCGATTTCATGTTAATGGTACCCCAAAGTCCCTATATATCTTTCGATTTGCAGGAAATTTGGCATAACGTACTGAATTGAGCCTAGAATGATGTCTGCCCAGTTTCGAGAAAATCGGCCCAGATTCAGATATAGTTTCGTCCGATTTCATGTAAATGGTGCACCAAAGTCCCTATATATCCTTCGATATATTTGGATAGAGCTTCCATATATATTTTCGCCCGATTTTAAGTAAATTGGACATCAAACTCTTCATGCTAGTCAGGTTGACATCAAATTTTGCACAACGTACAAAATTGAGCATAGAATTACGTAGTTGCGTTTTCTAGAAGTACAGACATAGCCCAACAGATAATCTATTTATATTTGATTGAAGTCGATTTATATAACTTATGGATATATAGGTAGATTCACATTTAGATAAATATCACATATTTTATTTCATCCAATTTCATGTTAATAGTCCTGTTTAATATATCCATAGTGGTGAAGGGTATCATATAGTCGGCCCCGTCCGACTTTACTACTTTCCTTACTGGTTTTATCTTGTATATGTATATATACAGCGAAAGTTGTTGTGTACTACAATTGCAGAACACAAAAATAGCACAAACAACAAAAATAATAATAACGTTTCTTACCAACTACAATCATATCCTCATGGCCGGAAACAGTTTGAAATGATGGCGCTTCACCGGATACTTCACAGCGGTAACGACCTGTTGACTGTAACGTGACACGACGCAATACCACCACATTGTCTGTGGAATTTTGTAACTGAAAAATAAAACAAACAAGCAAACATACACACATTCGTATGTATTAACAAATGGATTTAGGGCATATGTTTTAAAGATTTATATGAATGTGTACACACACATACATATAAATAGACAAGGCAGGCAGACAGCACACATATGGCTGACAGGTGTAAAGAAAGGAAACTTAAACACAAATCCATGGTCTTTCGTATGAGTGTTTGTGTGTGACACACATACAATCAGTTAGTCCATCAGTCCGTCAGAAAAGTTTCCGTCCATGGCTGCTTTTAAATATTATGTAAATGACTGTGGATTTGCACATCCATCTTAAAGGATATTATTTATTGTTAAGACAGAAGATTGACAGAAGATTTATGGATTGCTGTTTTATTTAAACAAAATTAATTTGTATTTAAATATTATTAATTACTTCGAAGGAGAAGTGGAATAAAAGGACTCAGGACTATCAAAGGAGTGGATTTTTAACGAATCTATTTTCGTGGGATTTTAAAAGATTATTTTCTTCGATGCCTATCTACGGCGTGGATTTTTTAAGAATGTTTTACAGGGCCTATCTAAGGCGTGTTTTTTTAAAGAATATTTTTTCAAGGCCTTTCGAAGGCGTGGATTTTTGCAGAATATTTTTCCAGGCCTATCTATGGCGTGGATTTTGTAAGAATATTTTTTCCAGGCCATTTTTAAAGAATATTTTTATAGGCCTATCTAAGGCGTTGATTTTTAAAGAACTTTTTCCAAGCCTATCTAAGGCGTTGATTTTGAAAGAATATTTTTTACAGGCTTTTTTATGGATTTTTATACTTTTCACCACGCTGTGGTATAGGGTATTATGTCTTTGTGCATATGTTTGTAACAGGTAAAAGGAATCGAGATAGTCCCATGAATCACTTTCTGAGTCGATTTACGCAATACCAAATATATTGTTATATGTGCTCGGATGTGGGAGTTACACCTAAATAGTATCAGGTATCTCCGTATTCGTATATTATTTAGTAACCCATTATCACTCTAGAGAGCGGATTTATAGAGCTGATCGCTTTGAAATGTTCCAAGAGGTTCCAGGTATGGTCAAGGACAACGCCTATAATTATCGGTGATAATCAGATAATATGGAATGAAGTGGACCGAAAACTTAATTTTTTGTGTTATTTTCGAGTCGATCTATAGACCACACATGAAAGCCGAACATCACAACACAACCCACGGTGAAGGGAATCTGGACAATAGCTGTACTGAACACTCGTAATGTTCGGAAAATATGTCAGTGTGAGGAAGAGGTGCTGTTTACCTATAATTGGGCAAGAGGATGCCAATATCACGAAATATTGCCCAGGCTCAGAATAAACATCCGCAGAAAATTTAAGTTCCGTGTTAGTTGTGTAGGGTATCGTATGGTCGGCCCCGTCCGACTATACTGCTCCGCACACTGGTTTGTGTTATTTTCGAACCGATCTATAGACCACAAATGAAAGCCGAACATCACAACACAACCCACGGTGAAGGGAATCTGGACAATAGATGTACTTAATACTCGTAAAATTCGAAAAATATGTCAGTGTGAGGAAGAGATGCTGTTTACCTCTAATCGGGCAAGAGGGTGCAAATATCACGAAATATTGCCCAGGCTCGGAATAAACATCCTCAGAAAAATTATGTTCCGTGGTAATTGTGTAGGGTATCGTATGGTCGGCCCCGTCCGACTATACTGCTCCGCTCACTGGTTTTTAATTGTGAAGTTGTCGAAAAAAGGAACATTTGAGTTTATGTCCTTAATTTATAGGCATCTTAAAGTATTTGTTAAACAAATTCAACCTTTCTGAGCACTCATTCGTCTATAGTATTTTTTTAATTTTACCCCCTGATTTCCCTTCTTTACACTGCCTCCTTCTTTAATGTGTTTGCTTTTATTTTATTCTATTTTTCTATATTGATTATTTTGAGTTTATTGTTTTAACTTACATCGACATCAACACCCGGCAACGGAAACACCTGTCCTGGCGGCATATCTCTTGGCACATAACGATAAAATTCAAAGCCGTCCTTGTACCATTTCACCGAATACAGAGATTCACCATCCAAATCGTATTTGCAACCCAGGGCGGCATCCTCATAACGCATTATGTGTTTGGGTATGCGTACCTCTGTCATCGATAGTGATAGACAAGGAGCTGAAACGGAATAACAAGAACAACAAAACGTAAAAATAAATAAACGAACGAACGAATGAATGGCCAAATCATTTAAATATCACAGGGAATGGAATTTAGGTCAAGTCAAAGAAAATTGGTCAAATTTACGATAGACATTTGCTGTATTTCAAATTGACAGTTTTGTGTTTGTTTGTACATTCTTTCCGAATTCTTACACTTTTAAATCAATTTTGGTGGATCGACTTCTCCTTCCTCGTCGTCGTCGTAAACTTTTCACCTAGTTGCCATTTGCCGTTTTGGCTTTACACTTTGTCACCTCCAGTTAAAGGCATTATTGTCCCCCGAGTTTAACACAGAAAATTATTTACTTAAAAGTTTGTCTTGTCTTTCCCACTCTCGGCTATACGAAATACAGCGAACGAACTATGAAAAGAATGTTACTTTTTAAGAGCAAATAATGGCAAACAAAAGGGTGCACACAGTCATGAAAAGGACTTTGTTAATTTTCCTCCATTACATCAAGTGTTAATAACTAATTTAAGCTTCGTGACTTAGTCCTTTATCACTTTAACTCAATTTTATTACAAGAGAACAACAACAACAGCAGCAGCAACAAAAAGGGTTGTTGATGTTGCCTTCATTTAGATTTCATTGCAAAACAAGAAAAATAACTTTTTGGAATTTAAGTTTGAAGGAGGTAATTTTTAGGAACAGTGGTGAAGTAAATTATATAATTTCAATAATATAAACCAGTAAGGAAAGTAGTAAAGTCAGACGGGGCCGATTATATGGTACCCTTCACCACTTTGGGTATACTCAACAGATGAATCTTAATAGACGTCGCATTTTTAAAGGACCAGTAAAATGAAATTGGATCCAAAAACATGTCATTCAGCAACCGATACTAAATTTTTCATTTGGTCAGATATAGAAGCTATATCTAAATCTGAACCGATTTCAGGAAACTTAACACACATCATTCTAGACCTAATTCATTACGCTGTGCCAAATTTCGTGCAAATCGAAAGATATTAAGAGACTTTGGTGAACCATTTACATTAAATTGGACTAAAATATATATGGGAGCTATATCTAAATCTGGACCGATTTTCAGGAAACTTAACATACATCATTCCAGACCTAATCCATTCCGCTGGAAACTTTACATACATCAGGAAACTTAACATACATCATTCTAGACCTAATTCATTGCGCTGTGCCAAATTTCGTGCAAATCGAGACATATATGGGGACTTTGGTTCACCATTTACATTAAATCGGACGAAATATATATGGGAGCTATATCGAAATCCGAACCGATTTTCAGGAAACTTAACGCACATTATTCTAGACCTAATTCATTACGCTGTGCAAATTTCGTGCAAATCGAGAGGTATATAGGGACTTTGGTTCACAATTTTCATTAAATCGGACGGAAATATATATGGGAGCTACATCTAAATCTGAACTGATTTTTTCCAATGTCAATAGGGTTCGTCCTTGGGCCATATGAGTGACCTATGCCAAATTTCATCCAAATCGGATCGTAAATGCGACATGCACTTTGTTCATAAAATCCACGCCTTCTTATAGTCCTCGAAAAAATATCCTATAAAATATCAGCCTCTTGTAATCCTCGAAAAATATCCTTTAAAAATCCACGCCTTCTTATAGTCCTCGAAAAAATATTCTTTAAAAATCCACGCCTTCTTATAGTCTTCGAAAAAATATTCTTCAAAAATCCCCGCCTTTTTATAGTCCTCGAAAAAATATTCTTTAAAAATCCACGCCTTCTTATAGTCCTCGAAAAAATATTCTTTAAAAATCCACGCCTTCTTATAGTCCTCGAAAAAATATTCTTTAAAAATCTACGCCTTCTTGTAGTCGTTGAAAAAATATTCTTTAAAAATCCACGCCTTCTTAATGTCCTCGAAAAAATATTCTTTAAAAATCTACGCCTCCTTGTAGTCCTCGAAAAAATATTCTTTAAAAATCTACGCCTTCTATGGGTCCTGGAAAAAATGTTCTATAAAAATCTACGCCTTGTATGGGTCCTCGAAAAAATATTCTTTACAAATCCACGCCTTCTTATAGTCCTCGAAAAAATATTCTTTAAAAATCCACGCCTTCTTATAGTCCTCGAAAAAATATTCTTTAAAAATCCACGCCTTCTTATAGTCCTCGAAAAAATATTCTTTAAAAATCCACGCCTTCTTATAGTCCTCGAAAAAATAT